GGGGCCCCCCGCCCGGGCCCCGCCACGCTTCGGGAGGGAGCGGGGGGAGCTGGGGGTTGGTGACGGGGTGCAGGGCATGGGGGGGACGCACGCGGGGAAAAGGCATCACCGCCAGGACCGCGGGGCCGGGGGCACGCGCTGGGGCCCATCCACCCCCCGGCATCGGCGCTGCGTGTGCTTTGGTAGTTGCTCAGCGGTGACAGCCCATCCCTGGAGGGATCATTAGCCCTTCCTCATTAAAAAAAGTTACTCACCCTTTAAGAGAGAAACAAGAATATCCTGGAAATGCCTCGGTTTGGGGAGTTCTCGCACTAAAGGTATGACTGAAACCAAGAGAGCGGCCGCACGTGACGTTCTCTGGCACGTGGGGCGGGTGAGATGCCGTGTCCCCTTGTCCTGCCCAGGGACCCCTTGGCAAGTGGGGGGATAAGCCCGGGGGTGCGGTAGCTGGTCCAAGTCCCAGCCCAGGGCCACGGGGGATCCTGAGCTTCAGGTATTTTAAGCACATGAGCAATGCCAGCGATTATGCGCTTGCTGCATGGCGAGGGGGTGAGTCACGGCCTCCTTGAATCAGAGCTTTAATTTACAGCCATGAAACACGCTCCCATTGCAATTGCCCAAAAGCGAGGAGCTCCGGCCACCCCGGGGCACCCGTGGTCCTCGGGGGTGGGGGGTGAGGGGTTTCTGGCGGAGGGAGAAGGTCCAAGCGCCGCTGGGGCTGCGAAGGTCTTTCCCGGGGGATTTTCAGGTCGGGATGAAGCCCCTCACCCAGGCACCGCCTTAAGTCTCTCCGCTCTCCCCGGTTGTGGGATGCTGGTGGGAACTGGTTCCTCTCCGAGAGCTCGGCTTCAGCCCTGGCTCCTGGGGAAAGCCAGGAAAAAGGTCCCAGGGTTCAAATATCCTCAACCCCCTCCCCTGGGGACGGAGCCATTAGCCCCCCAAAAGTGCCATGGTGGAGGCAGGGACCTGGGCCAGGCAGGTGCTGCCAGCAGCGGGACACGGGCCCCTTCCTCCCCGGGGGCACCGCATCGGGCTCGGGGTGGGCAGAGCTGCCCCGGGATGTCCGACCGACACCTCGGGGCTGCGCCGGGGCGATCCACGTCCCTGCAAAAGGACCTGCCTTTTGCCTTCTTCCCCCCACGAAGTGAGAAAAACAGCCCTTCCCCTCCATACACACCCTCACGCCGGCGCAGTCCCGGGGAGGGATGCGGGAACCCGACGGATGAGGTCTCGCACCCACCCTGTTCATCGGGGACAGCCGGGACTCTGTGGCAGGGGGAGGAGCCTGAACAGCCAGAAGAACCCCACTAAAAATTAACATTAATTTATTATTCATGATAAAAACCAAGATTCTCTTTACATGTGTTTGTTTGTTTTTTTTTTTTCCTTTTTATACAAGAGAATTTTCATCGCTTTTTTTTTTTTTTTTTTTTTTTTCCCCCCCCC